CCCAGCTTTCTTTGCTCCTAGTTGTGCCCATGTGACCATATTCTGGCCAATGAGATATAAACAACAATGTTGTGTGCATGGTTTCTGAGTTGTATTTTAAAAATGAAGTTTTTGGAGCCTACTTCCTTTTTCCCTATGCTGCTGGCTTATACTCTCAAAATGAAAGCTACAGAGTAAAATATACAGGTACCTATAAGTACTGGATTGCTACATAAAGAGTAGAATCTGAATATTACATAAAGAGTAGATTTTTATTACATAAAATGTAGGAACTTATTTGCTGGTGTTGGTATTTCCTTTATAGATGAAGAAATGAACCTAAATTCATTTAGTTAGGCAGTGGGGAAGCTGGAATTCAAGTGCAGACAATCAGTATTCAAGTCTAATTCTTTTTGTCTAAGAGGATTCTTTTCAGGTAAAAACTAAAATCTATTCAAGTTTGTAAAGTAAAAGGCTATTGAGATGTGCCCAAAGTTCATAAAATTTGAACAGATCTTGTTTATCAAATATTGTTTATTAAAACTGGGGGATTTCTTTAAAGATCAAAACTAGAAGAATTAAAATTAATAGAAAGCTAAGTTATCCTATTTTGCACAGAAAGTCAATTAAAAGAAATCACTACCCTAAGAAGTGAAGTATAAGTATAAAGAAGATAAAGTATAAACTGCCTGAAGGTAATTTGGGTCATTCATTCAAGATATATCCAGATTAGGGAGGTTTTATGGGTATTTAGGTATATCCTTCACTTGTAATTTTAAGTTTTAAAAAACTCTGTCTTTAGTCCCCCTTGAGGCCTCTCTCAGCCAGAAATCTCAGATGGACTGGCTGGCACTGCTTGGCATTCCTTAAATTCTCATGCTAGCGCTAACACAGCATACCAAGCTGTGAGCAGTTATGTTGCCAACAACTTCACTGAGGAGGAAGCAGACCATATGCCAAGATATGACCTCAGTGAATGTCCTTAAATTCATATGATGAACGAGCAGGTGTTTAATAACCACATTTTTCAATTATGTCTCAGTTTGTGTTTTGGAAGAGCATCAATTCATCCTGTATCCACAATGAGAAGGCTGCAGACTGTCTTTGAGTTGCTTGCTCTTGAACCCTCAGAATGAAAGAGTGACACAATTTGTTCTCTGAGAGGGGCCATCCTCCATTTGGGTCATCTCAGGTTACTTCCCCTTTCCTTTTCTTCCGAAGAGTGTGTCTTGGTATAATTTATACCACTACTTCTGACAACTGTATAGGCTCATTCTCAATTTCTTTCCTTTGTTTCTATTTATGCTATAGGTTTGAATGTCTTATTAAGTCAATAGATTCCAAATATTAATGTATATCAGAATCTCCTGGAAGGTGATTTTTAGGCTTCACCCACAGTTTCTGATTCAGTAGGTGCTGGATAGGGACCGAGAATTTGCATTTGTAACAAGTTTTCCACCGATGCTGATGCTATTGGTTTAGGGAACACAACTTTGTAACATACGCACACCACACACGCATATATATTTTTTGCTTGCTGTAAGAATTGCTATATAAAGTCTCCTCTCCTCTCTTATCAGACTATCATTTGCCTTAAGTATCATATGTCTTTATATACTCAGAGTTTGGCCATGTGCCTGACCAAGTATGAATGTTTGTTGATTCTTGTTTTTATTGATTGAATATTTATGTTACTTCCAAAGATTATATGTTGAAATCTAATCCCTGAGGTGATGGTATGTACAGGTGGGGCCTTTGGAGGGAATCGGGTCACAAGAGTACAACTGCTATGGATGGGACTAGTGTCCTTAGAAGAAAATGTCAGAGGTCTTTATTTTCATCCTGTGATGATACAAGAAATTGATGTTCTAAAACCTGAAAAAAAGGTCTTACCAGACACCAAGTCTGTTGCAATCTGGATGCCATATTTCTAGCCTCTATAATTTTGAGAAACAAATGCTTATTTGTAAGCCATTCGGCCTATAGGATTTGGTTATAGCAGTCCAAGAAGACACCTGTGTTGGCCTACCCCACTTTCATTCTTTTAAAAACCAATAAATAAACATCTTCTTTCAATAAAAAATTCTGTTTCACAAAGATTTCTTCTTTAAGACACAGAGTTGCTCAAAACCCCAGAATATTTCACCGATAAGCAGTTGCCACAATTTCCAGTGAATTGTGCATTGTCTACCCTCTGTTTTTATGTGCCTGGAAGACCAAGTTAATTATCTTGTGGTTGCTGGCAACTTCTCAATGAAAGATCTGTCAAGTGTAATATCCCAATGCATTTGGCAACACAAAGCAAAGCAAATAATGTGTGGAGGATAAACATTTTTCTGCACGAGGGTTAAGGGGAGGGTTCGAAGAGAAGAAAATCACATTTGTATTTTAAAGAGTTCTTGCTATTGAGAACATTCGGGAACCAAAATGTTTACACCAGTTAGCATTCCATCCCAGAGACAATGTGGTTCTGTTTCCAGGCAGACTCTCACCTGACAGTTCAGAGTTTGGCTTAGCCCTGGAGCCATTTTCCAGCACGGTGTGACTCCCCATTTGAACTCTGAAGAGAAGAACCTCTCAGAGAAGGTTTTTAATCTTTAACGATATTTTTAGATTTCTAGTGTTAAGGTGTCTAGACGCCCCTGGGTACTAGATTCTTTAAATAATACTATTTCTAGTTAATTAGCCTGAAAAATGTAGCCAGTCATTAGATTATGAATATGTTATCTTAGTCTGTTCAGGCTTTTCTAACAAAGTACCCCAGACTGGGTTGCTTATAAAAACAACAATCTATTTTACACAGTTCTGGAGGCAATAAGTGTCTCCTTTAAAGGTGTTAGTCCAATAGACCTCTTTGAATCCTGACTCTCTCCCCAAAGGCCCATTTCCTGTCCTAATACCATCACATTTCTGGCAGGGTTTCAAGTGGAGAATTTTTAGGGAAAAGAAATATTCAGTTCATAAAATATCCTATAAAATTACAGAGTACACTTAACGATTTTTTAAAAATTCTGTTAGATGTAAGCCATAATGATTTATTTTTTAAAATAAGCTAGTATGTGATAAGGCACTCACTTTATAGCAAGATAGCTAGGTGAAGAGGCATCCTAGCAATTTCTTTCACTTAGAGGTGGCAAATATATGACTTGTCAGTCACATTTACCTGGCTTCGTTCAGATGCGCCCAAATGCATCCTTAGAATGCTTAACACAACACAGCATGGGTAGGAGGGTAGGAGCCTGGACAATCAGGACAGAGCTTGGTCTAAGTACATACTACTGGATTTTCTGGGATGTAACCTTGGGCAAGGGACTAATCTCTAAGCCTTTCTTCCCCAGAGCTCTAAAATAAGAGAACACACATATACTATTTAGCAAGGGCGTAGCATAAGGAGCTTTATAATGTTCACTATTCTCCTTTTTAATGCTATTATTAATAAATAACCAAACTAGGCAAAGGATGAAATTATTTGAGCGCTGCTTCTTCCCTAAAGTGTTTAGATCAAATCTAACGGAAGTTCATATTTGTTAGGGAAAGCATGACAACATATTAGAGTGACACTGCCACCATTCAGCTGGGCTACGGCCTTCTGAGTCCAAGCTCAGCTTTCCCTACAACCTGTAATCTCCTCCAAACTTTTCTGCTTAAATGGTGGTGGTGCTAATCTAAGGGCAGGTGCTAATGCTATCTCTTTCCACCTTTCAACCCTTAGAAAGTCTTGTATAGACAAAGTCACAAATACCTTATTACTTGCTCTCAACTCTTAAAGATTTAAAGATACTGAGTGCAAGAGCTGCCATTCCATCTGAATCCTCAAGCATGTCTTAACCCATCACCCTTCTTTATGTACATTGCTTGCAATCCCCTAATTCAAAGTGCATCGTCTCTTGACTGGATTTCTGACATAGCCTCCTAAATGAACTCTCTTCTTCCCTTTTCCTCTCTTCTACCCAATCAGCTGGTTTGATCTTTTAAAACTGCAACCTTAACTTGCTTAAAATGTTTCCTTGCCTTCTTATGATCTTGTAATGAAATATAAGAGCAAGGTGTCCATCGATTTGTATAACTCTGCCTCTGCCCTTTTCTTCAGTCCCATCTCATGGGGAGACTGAAGAAACAACTTTTTCCTATTTATATCATAGCTATGCTGTTATCTTTCAGATCCTCAAATGAGTCAATGTTTCCCTTTTTCAGGGCCTTTGCACATGCTGTTCCCTTTCCCTGGAATGCTCTTCCTTAACTCTTAATCTGCTTAACTCTATTTGCCCTTTTAGGCTTCAATTCAACTGTTGCTGCCTCAGATAACTTCTCACTTATCCCCATCCCCTAATAGAATTATGTCACACCTGTTACTTTCTCCAGACTATTTGCATTTTTTCCTCCACAGAGCTTTCACATATTACATAGATTAGTAATTATATACATAATTCTATGCTTACTCACTTGATGTTTCTCTCCCCTTCTACACTGTGGTACTTATGTGCCTTATTACTCTCTAAGCCCTGAAAAGTTTAAGCATGTTCTCTTTAGCTTCACAAGCATAAGAGCAGAGCCTTTCCCTTCCTTACCATCATTATCACCATGGTAGATCAGGAGGGCCCATCCTCATAAGCAGGTGTTTAGTGTTTCCTGGTATTTTGTCCTCATGGGTTAAGTTAGATGATAAAACAGAAAAGAGATTGGAAAGTCTTACTTGAGCTGGGCGTTTTCTTGTAATATTTGTCAAGGTAAGCCAAAATTTCTGTACCAAACTGCTGTATTTTATTGGATCAACATAGTAAAGTTCATTTCTGCTCATGTAAGTGTCCAAAGCAGATATTTATCATAAGGATAGCTACCTTGGTCACTGTTCCAAGGGACTTGGGTGTACAGGCTCCTTCTACGTTATGGTTCTGCCACCCCTTAGGGCCTTAGAGACCATCATTTATATCTGGCAGAACAGGAAATAGGTTCATAAAAGATTGGAATGGAATCAGCCATTGTGAAAGAAATGTGTGTCACTTCTTCCAACATTCCATTGGCCAGAGCTCACTGGTTCATGCTATGGCTTCATCTATGGCAAAGCAGACTGAGAAATAAGGCCTAGAATGTGCCCAGGAAGACAAGGTAAACATGTAATGTGGATGCCCAGGGAAAGGATAATTGGTATATGCCCAGGATTGGGAGATGGTTGGTGCTCTCTAAATGCATAAATAAGTACATGAATGTTGGGAGAAGCAGCAGCCTTCACAAATATTTTGCATGTCAGTCATTTCATACCTTTGCAGTCCTTCTTGTTTTAATGGGTGTGAGTAGTGCTTTTCAAGGCTGTGGAATAAGGCTGGAAAGAACTGTAGCTATGGTGCCCTTACTTCTGTGGGCTTGTTGTATTCATTTATAAATACACACACACACACACACACACACTCTCACACATACACCTACATACACTTAGAGAGAGAAACAATCCAAGCAAACAGGATAGAGCACAATAGAAGGAAAGATAAACATGCCCAGTGCCTGGCACATAGGAATCCTGTAAATGTTAGAATGAGAGGAAAGAGGACAAGCCCAGTTTTCCCTATCTAGGATTTAAATGGATGATTCATAGACATATACTGAATTCCAATAGTCTTTCCTTAGAAATGTATCAAAGAGTGCTATCCCATTTTCCATTCATAATGTTACTCTTGTCTTTTAGCAATAGACTAGGTTTATTTTTCTAGTTAGTCTCTGTGGCTCTTCACGCTGTGTAAAGGCTACAGAATGTCAGGGTGGGGGAGTGGAGTGTTGTGGCAGGAAAAACCTGACTCAGGGGTCACTGAGATGGTTGCCATGAAGCTTTGAGAAGGAAAGGGATGCGGCTTATGATGGGATTTTTATGACTAGTTTCTCTGCTGATTTTGTAGAGGACGAAGAGTTCACCAAAAATCTCTTCTTTTTCTATACTTGCTCATCAATCATTGTGACCAATGCTATAATACATTAGTGTTCCCAACTCTCATATTGACTCTCATTCTTTCTGGTCCAAGTCTGCAGTATTGGCTGTAAAACAAAAGTGCAGCTTTCTTGCAGCCCAAAGAGGTCATTTGATACACTTTTGGATAAGGAGACATATCACCCCTCCCCAGATTTGCTGTTATGTACCTTGAATGGTTAGGATAGCAGGAGTTGCAGCTGTCATTTTTGGACCATAATGAAGATGCCAAGAGACAATAGACAAGTTGATTCTGACATTGTTGAACACCATTACCAATGGTAACTGACACCTAGATTTAGGCTTTCTTTTATATGAGGAAACATAAACCCCTTTTGCTTAAGGCACTTAAAATGAGGATTTGGTCACTTGCAGCCCAAAGAATTTCTTTTTTTTTAAATCTTATTGAGTTTATTGGTACATTTTAGGTATACAGTACAGTCGCATTCATCATTGGGATCTTGTACCTTTACATGACAGGTCTTGGTTTTCATTTTTCATCTTTTTCCCATACCCATGCCCTCCCTTCACCCCCTTCACCCTCGCCTATTTACAAAGACTTTGTTTCCATTTTTTCCTTTTCTCATATTCCAAAGCATTTCTTAATGACTTTTTCTTTTTTAATTTTATTTTTCCATAGATAGAAGTAAATGAACCAGCTATATATAAGAAGAATTAAAAAGTTTCTACAAAATACTAAAATAAGATTTCTAAAACTGGAATTGCAGGATAGGGATTATAATTTAGAAAAAAATAAAGTCAGAGGACTCACACTGTCTGATTGTAAGACTTGTTCTAAAACTAGGTACAGTAAAATCTTGGATTACTAGTACAGTATTTATAAAGTTTATAAATCAAGACAGCATTATTGCCAAACAATAGACACAAACATACTCAGAATACAATAGAGAGCCCAGAAAATATAGACTGCAAAACAATCATTCCCCTGGAGCATTTCTGCAAAGAGGAAATATCCAACAATGCAAATTACCTCTTCCACTACAGTGGCAAGTCAGCTCTCTCCCCACTGAGCGAGCCTTCCTCAGCCTGAGATAAAATTTAATCATAATGAATATGTTTAAAAGTAAATTCTACATTACACTTTCCTGGACTAGACTACTGCTCTCAAATGTCAGGTCTTCTTGTTATTTTTCTTTGATCTCTCTGGAGTTCTAGGGAAATCTCTTTGTTCCTTGTGAGCGCGTGCTGGCACTGTCTATTCTTGGCACCATCTCTAGGGGCTCTCTTCTGGAGCAGGTGTAAGGATTGCCCTTTCTCGTACTTCTGCTTCCCTTTTCCTGCCCTTACTAATTTTGTTTTCTCCCAGATACCTCCTCCACTCCCCTCCTCAGTTGATTTTTGGCCATAGTTTTTATGTTTCTGATTCTCATTGCTAAAGTATGAATGAGATCACATTGTCCCCTTGCTTATAATCTTCAGTGGATTCCCCCTTTCACCAGGTTCCTTCAGTACAGCAGAGGCCCCGTGGCTTTGCCCTCATTGGTCAGGACTCTTCTGGCCCCACATCTTGGCATGCCTGAGGACATCAAGCTGTCCAGCCAAATGCCATCTCCTCCAGCAGGGCCTTCTCACCACTCTTCCAAGATACCTCACATCACTCCATCCACTTTTAAAGTTTTATTCAAAACTTTGTCTTTTATTTCTCATCCATTAATTTGTCTATTTCCTTTTTTTTTCATTTCCATTTTTCTAAAGCTCCATGAAAGTAAGGACCTACTCTGCTGAAAAGTGACATTTGTCTTTGATCTATAGGAAAATGAGTTCACCTGAGGAGAAAGATCCATAAGTGGGGTATGTACTTTTGCTTTTCCAAATCAGTCCAGGTTTTCCATGTAATTATTAACAGCATTCCATTCCTCCTCAAAGGTATGACTGGTGGACAATGAGTTACATGGCCATCCTGCCTATGAGGCAGAGGAGCCTGTGCATGGTTAAACACCGGGCCAGATGAGAGGTTGGTGCCATTCAAGGGATGGACAGGAGCCTTCTGTGGTGGGATGGTGGTCGTACTTCTGATGCGGGGGAGGGAATGGTGATGAAGTTGGAGAAGCTGGAGTGGGCTGAATTATGTAAAGCCATGTGTGTCTTGCCAATCAGAATTATGACAAGGACTGTTAGTGTCTTCCTTGTATTCTTGGGAGAAGACTTTTCACTGTGCTTTCCTTTAGAGAGATTGTGGAACTAGGCTATCTCAGGTGGAAACATTTGTGTTTTGCATGTTAAAACAATATGACTATGTAATTTTAAATTTATATAAAATTTTAAATGGCTTCCATTTATAGCTTGGGTCTGACTCTTCTTGTCTAAAGAGAAACAATGGGAAAACTGGATAATGAATGTATTATATATAAACCTTTGTGTACTTCTAATTATTCAAGTGTTTTTTTGTTCCCCTTTTTAGTTTTAACTACAGTAAATGGCCCTTTGCTAGAGACTTGTACCAATGTCAAATCTACTCTTTTCTCATATTGTCAAGCCTTTCTTTTGTCCTTAAGATATATTATCAAATTTACGTAATGATTCTAACTTTGGAAGTTTTATATGAGTTTCATTTTTTTTTGCTGGTTTTAGTTCTGGCTTTCTCACATGGTGCCTTATTTTGTGGTGTGTTTTGTTTTGTTTTAACTACGAGTTGTTAATTTTTCTTGAAACTTGATCTGGGAAAATTTTTAAGTCCTAGGGTAAAGATGAGTCTTCCAGAAAGAAAGCTTATTTGCACCTGTTATATCTCTTGGATATACTAGTACTCTGGGACTTCTATAAGCTATTGGCTTACACATTTTTGGAATTTGGTTACAGACCCCCAAGAGGGATGATGCTAGATCACAAATTCTTATGTTGGACACTTTTCTCCTTCTATCACCATTGAGGTTTGAGACATTGTATTTTTCTTTAATGTATCCTGAAAGGACTGGGGTAGGGTTATCTCTAATTGATCCTTATATTAAAGTGCTTCAGAGATCAGCTTAATGCAGTGGGTGAAGGTTTGGGGAGGCTCATTCTCATTTGGGGAGGACTTTTCTACCTGGGAAGATACAGGCTTTGTCAGCTCTTCTTGGAGACATGAGTGGTCTGATATTCAAATTCATCTAGTTTAGCAAATGTCTTCGTAAAACTACCTTTCAGTCTTCTCACTGCTTTCTGGACTCCCCATTCATTTAATTATTTGCCCAGTGTAAATTCATGGCTTAATTAAATGCAATTTTACCTTCATCATGAAGACTGCCAAAATCTATTATTTTTTAAAATCTTAAAGTTTATATGGAACCAGAAGAGAGATGAAGAATAGCAAAAGCAATCCTGGGTAGCAAGAGCAAAACAGAGGCATCACAATCCTAGATTTCAAGTTATATTACAAAGCTACAGTGATAAAAACAACAAAGAATCATCACAAAAACAAGCATGTGAATCAATAGAATACAACAGAGGAAGCAGAAACAATCTTAGGCACTTTCAGCTACTTAATCTTTGACAAAGGGGCCCAAAAATACACTGGAGGAAAGATAACCTATTTAATAAATGGTGCAGGGAAAATTTGCTATCTACATGCAGAAGATTGGACTCATATCTCTCACCATGTACTAAAATAAAATAAAAATGGATCAAATATTTAAATGTTAAAACAGAAATACTTAGTCTGCTGGAAAATAAAATAGGTGAAACTCTTGGACATAAGCATAGGCAAGGACTTTCCAAACAGAATCCCAGTTGTATAAGAAATGACATCAAGAATCAATAAATGGAACACATCAAATTTAAAAGCCTCCTCACAGAAAAGGAAACAATCAACAGAATGACGAGACAATCTACAGAATGAGGAAAAAATTTGCCAGCTACTCCGTGGACAGAGGACAAATATCTAGAATTTATAAAGATTTAATTTATAAAGATTTAAATTTATAAAGATTTTGATTTAAAAAAATTTGACCCCAAAACAAAAGACCCAATCAAAAAATGGAAAACTGAATTGGATAGACACTTCTCCAAAGAAGTAAAAAAGGTAAAAATATACATAAATATGTTCAGCATCTTTGGTCATTAGAGAAATGAAAATCAAAAAACAACACTGTTACCAAAGAAAGAATGGCTATCATCAAGAAGTCAAATAATAACATTATGTTGGTGAGGCTATGGGGATAAAGAACTGTTCTGCATTGTTGGGTGGAATGTAAACTAGTACAGCTACTATGGACATCAATATGGAGATTCTTCAAAAACCTAAACTCAGACATTCCATTCAACCCAGCTATTCTCTTTTGGTGTCTTCTCAAATGAGTTAAAGACATCATATTACAGAAATACATCCATAACCATGTTTATAGCAGTACAACTTACAATAGCTAAATATTGGGAGCAGCCTATATGCCCATTAGCAGATGAATGGATAAAGAAAATGTACACAGTGGAGTACTACTTAGCATGAAGAAGGATATATTTGAGTCATTTTTAGGAAAGAGATTCTCTTTGAGACCATAATGTTAGGTGAAATAAATCAGATGCAGAAAGTTAAGTATTGCATGGTTTCTCTTATAAGAAAAAATAAGTATATATAAAGAGCAAAATAAAAGACAGGTTATGTGAAACAAGGAGGTAAACTTGTGCAGATGGGATGGTGATCTAGGGGTGGAGGTAGAGAGAGTAGGGAGAGTAAAGGAGGAGAAGTAAAAAAGGATTAAAATGCAGTATTGCATGCACCATCCCCATGATTAATATATTTATTATGCATCACAAATGTGTACTAATAAAATATTTTTAAAAATATCTATTGGCCCAAATATTGGCTCTTGGTATTCAAAGTCAGACTTTTGAGATGAGAAATACCTTTCTTTTGGTCCTTGAGTTTGTCGTAAAGTGCTAATGATTATCTTTTTGTAATCAGTGCTTCAAATCATCCAAACCTCCTGAAACAATGTAGGCCTCATCTTCAATATAGATTTGATTTAAAACAGCGAATGAATTAGAGTAAGAAATAAATTGTAAATGCCAACCATGTCCATTAATATAAAACAATTTCTCCATTATAAAGAATTATTTGACTATTTTTAGTCCTTGAAGAATGTATCCATAATATGACTGATAATTAAACTAATACCTTATTAATGAACATTTTGATTCTTTTCATTTTTACCTGCAATCCATGTTGTAACAATAAACATTCTTGTACATTTACTTTTTTATAGCTATACAAAATTTCAGCAGGATAAATGTCTACAAATAAAATTGGTGCGTCAAGTACTACGTCCATTTATACTCTTGATGGCTATTGTCTAGGACAATTTTATACAGAAAATGAGAGAGTTCCACCATCGGTAAGTGCGTGCACACACCTGGGAGCAGCTGTGTGGAGCAGAGTGGTGCGGCTTCAGGTGGGTCTAAGCGAGGACCCCACCCCAACCCCAGGGGTATAGGCACACATCCCAAAGCCACAGACCACCTAGAAAAGAGCAGCACAGGCATGCAAGCTTCATCCAGAGTCTTGCCATACCATCAGACACAGCCAAAGGCCCCCTTGGAAAAGAACTACACAGACACACAAGCAACAGCCAGAGGCTCACTACAATGCCACTGATAAGTGCCTGAAGACCCTAGCCAGAAGACTGCACAGACAATGGGAACTAGGATACACAGGCCCCAGACAAAACCCCTCCCCTAGACAACAGCTGCATAAGGGCTCCAGTGAGAGGCACACCTAGATACCATCCCAAGTGTGAACAGGCCCCAACCAGAATCCCACCCAGACAACAGGTCAGCTCAGGGATATAGATGGGCCACTATTCTAAACCCAGGAATTTATGTACTGGGGAACAGCGGAGTAAAGGCTGCTCAGGGGCCTGCTGAGAATTGAAGACCATTGGGTGAGCAAAAAGTTGCCTCAACAAAGGCACAGCAGGCTGCATCTGCTGAAATAAGATGACACAAACAAGTCACTGCTGAGAAGAAGACCATTGGGTGAGCAAAAAGTTGCCTCAACAAAGGCACAGCAGGCTGCATCTGCTGAAATAAGATGACACAAACAAGTCTCAAAACCAGACTTTTAGACCACCTAATGCAAGCCCAAAGGGAATAGAGATGGAACAATCTGATATTCAACAACCTGGGAACTGACAACAACAGAGGACTTGGAAAAAATGAAATTGGAAGTAATTTCTTAGATAACAGCAGAGATTGTGCCAATAGGACAAGACATGATTAACAAATCTAGAGCACAGATTAAAAAAAATACAGGAGCTGAGAAACATGGTACAAATCCAATGTAGGAAACAAATGGAATCCATAAAACAGATGCAAACAGATTTCCAAGACATTAAAAACTCCACTGAAGGTTCATGCACCAGAACAAGACCATGCGAGGACAGAATTTCAGATACAGAAGATAGGATTGCAATTAGTGACCAAGAAAAGAAAAATCTCTTAAAAATAGTAAGGGACCATGAGAGATCATTCCAGCAGCTGTAAGATGATTCAAAGAAGAATAACATTAGACTGATTGGAGTTAGTGAAGAAACAGAAGAGAGTGAAGATGACATAAAAAAAAAAAACTTCATCAAAGTAATGGCAGAAAATGTTCCAAATAGGGGAAAGAACCTGACATACAGATAAGTGAGGCTTATAAGACTCCAGCTAGCCATGATAAAAAAAAATCTACACATAGGCATATAATAGTTAAGATTGCAGAAACCCAGCAGAAGAAAAAAATTCTACAAGCAGTTAGAGAAAAGAAACAAATCATGTACAAAGGAAAGCCCATCAGAATCACAGCAGATTTCTCAACACAAACCCTCAAGGCAAGA